TAAAACTATACTAATTGATATTTCTTTCATCAAGTCATCAATCACCTACGGTTCTCATTCCTGCCCTTCGAACTGTTGGGAACATTGTAACTGGTGATGACTCTCAGACACAGGTATGTTTTATGACGAACGGCTATTTATATTGTTTTGGGTGTTTGCTTTGGGATTTTGACTATGACTGTGTCTTTGCTTTTCAGTTTATAATTGATAGTGGCGTACTTCCACACCTTTATAATTTGCTTACGCAAAATCACAAGAAAAGTATAAAAAAAGAAGCTTGTTGGACTATCTCGAATATCACTGCTGGGAATAAAGTTCAGATAGAGGTATGAGGATTTTTTTGCTATCTTTAATATGTCAATAAGACGGTTGTTCATGGAAGATAGTATGCTATTTCATTTCTGATTCTGCAAGAAAAGTGAAAAAGTTAAGGATTTTGACTCCTTTCTTGAGTTTAGAGCGAGCAAATTTTAGTACTTTCATATTTTCCAATAACTTCTCTGCCTAGAAACCTAATTATACCCTATTTGCTATTGCTATATGCCAACAATACTTGTTACTGAAAATATTTAGAGTCTTCAAAGTTTCAGAGGCTAAAAGCAAATTTTAATCAGTTTATATATTTGAAACAATAGGCTGTGGTTGCCGCTGGAATAATCCTCCCTCTTGTGCACTTGCTCCAAAACGCGGAGTTCGATATAAAGAAGGAAGCTGCTTGGGCTATTTCCAATGCTACCTCAGGAGGGTCTCATGAGCAGATTCAGTATGTCATCTCTATTCTGAAGCACGTTTGCAAACAACTAACTTCACTTCACAATGTTCCCTCTTCTGTCTTTTACCATTATCTATCTCGAAATCGAAAACTGCCATAACACAGTTTTGCATGCAGATATTTGGTGACCCAAGGCTGTATCAAACCACTATGTGATCTTCTAATCTGCCCTGATCCAAGGATTGTGACGGTGTGCCTTGAGGGGCTTGAAAACATTCTCAAGGTTGGTGAGGCTGACAAGGAGATGGGATTAAACGGTGGGGTGAATCTGTATGCTCAAATAATAGAAGAATCTGATGGGTTGGACAAAGTTGAAAACCTTCAATCCCATGATAACAACGAGATATATGAGAAGGCGGTTAAGATATTGGAGAGATATTGGGCAGAAGAAGAGGAAGAGCAGATTCTGCAGGACGGCGGGAATGAAAATTCACAACAGGCCTTCAATTTCGGAAACAACCAGCCCGCTGCTCCCCCTGGCGGATTCAAATTTGGCTGAAAAGGTATACAGTAGTACAAATTGAAATCCTTTGGTTTGGGGAACATGAGATTCAGCTTTTGCAACTGTTATTGACATTTGCCAGGTTCAAGTTCGAGTTTTTGAGTTCTGATGCAAAAAAGGCTTATTTTTTTGTTTTTTTTGTTGTTGTTGTCCTTATTTGTCTGAATCATTCTCTGATTCTGTATCTTCAACTCTGGGATGAATTATATCTAGTGTGGTTACTGGTTTAGGATATGGTCACACTTTGTATTTGTCACTTTTATCTATGTTGTTATTATAGTTTTATAACTTTTACTTGGCAAAAGTACAAATACAAGAAATGTTTTGATTGCAAGAGTCTTGTCTTGTTAATATAGTCCTCAAATGAATTGGTAAAGGAAAACTTTAATCTCATCAATATAAGGAGACTTTGTAGGAATGATGTGGCCAAAATCATGCTCAATAATGGTGGCGCATCCGTCATCAAACAACCCCGCCAGATCTGAGCTGGCTTGAGTCACAATCTGTCTGTCTTTTCCAGGCTGGCTTCCAAATATGTGAAGTGAAGGGCATGTAATCGATCCTTTCTCCTCCTTCTCTAACAATGGCCACGGTGTGAAACCCGAGCACAATACGCAGAATCTGAAGTCTATTTCACCTACGAGCTGCTCCTGTTTCCCACATACAGCTGCAGCCATTGCCGCACCTTGAGAGAATCCGAGAATGCCATCAAAAGGCCCTTTCTCTGCAAAAACCGTCTTCAAGTATGTCAACGATTTATCAAACCCTTCAGTTTGAGTCTGATACTGCAACGGATCGAACTGGCATTGGGCCACTGTCCAGCCTGTTTCACTCGGCTGATCAAAATCTGATGACACCAACCACGCAAACTTCTTGTTGCATGCTCCGGATGGAGGGGTAGCAGTTTGGTAGATGAACTGTAGTTCGTGTGGTGCATCGATAAAAACAAGCTCGGCAATATTCTTCAGTTTCTTTGCTAGTGATCCGGTCCTCCCTTTGAAGCTAGACGCGTTCTGCCTAAAACCATGCAAGCACAATATCCTCAGCTTCCGTCTTATATTGTCACCTGACAATAGAAGTGAAATGACAAAGTTTCCAGGGAAAAAGGGATTAAATTTTTTGGAAAAGTCCTCTGATGTTTCAAACATTTGATCCAAAAATGAACAAACAGACCTTACCATTGCTTTCAGAAGGTTGGTTTGAGGGATCAAGACTCAAAGGGACTTCACTTTTTCCGTGTTTACGACACAGCTCACACACACATATATCTCCTTTAACCTGCAACAGCACATCGTAAGTCCAAGTTACACAATCCTTGTGAAGTTAATCAATAAAAGTGGTCTGGGTGCATTACCCGACAATGATTACAGACTAAAACAAGCATCCGGCATAATTTGCAACGGCAACGTGGAGAATAGTCGTCAAAGGTATTGTTGCAGAGAAGGCAGCTGCCTATTATATCCCCTTTTGAGCTCCCAACTGAGATCCTTCAAACCCGACATGAAAATATATGTTATCCGGACCTATATGTTCCTGGTAGATTAGAAAAGAAAGATGCTAGAAATATACCGGTGATCAAACACAAAGTTCTTCCCTTTGAAGAACCCACCACTGGGAAATTGTTCAAGGTATCTCTGTATGCCACCATAGAGCTGCACGAAACAAATAACGACTGGAGTCAGCCAAGTCCAGTGACTTGTATCAAATCCATTTGCGATCGAGGATCTCACCTGAAAAGTATTCTCAAATCCAGCGCCTTTAGATCTGATATATGCAGATGCCATTTCACATCTGATTCCACCAGTGCAGTACCTAGATTCGCCAACACATGAGAACTTCAGTGATGTGGAAAGTAACTGGACAAGAAATCGCTGTATGTCACAGAACTATTATTCATACATGAGCACATTTTTGCCCTTCAATTTCTCGGCATTCTGATCAATCCAGGTTGGCAAATCGCTATACTGCCTGATTTCAGGATCAAGGGTCTCAACATTGTCTGATTCAAATTTTCCAATCCGTGTCTCGTACAGGTTCCTCGCATCAAGCAAAACAAGATCCTTATTCTCAGACTTCCCATCTCCATCCAGATGTTCAGCTGAGTTGCAAGGAAACAAAATCAGCTAAGAAATGCAATATAGCCGTAAGTAATAAAACAAATAAAGAAACTTACTGGCACTCTGCAAGACCGAATGAAACTCCGCAGCAGAAAGATGCTTTCCAGCATTTGAAATTTCTGGGGGTTTAAGGGGAGGGCAAGGACTAAAGGTCACTAACTCCTGCAAACCACAACACAATACCACAAATCTATAAAAATGCTAAAAAGGCTATGGAAGTCCAGTCACAGTCGAACAAACCTCTGACACAATGACAAAAAATTCATCCATCAGATGCAAAAAAGTGAACTAAGAACAAAAAGAAAACATTTGAAGTCCGGAGAAGACAAACAAGCTTAACTCGACACCAAGTCATCGTTAATCTTGTAAAATTTAAGATTTAATCAGCACATACAACATCAAGGTCATCATCAGTTATAGAGACTATACAAAGAATAGGCATGAATTTTGTGATTTAGTAGAAAACATTCAGTCAGATGAGCTAGGAGATCAAAACATGAATATTTTCCCAGCAAAGGAATCTTACGCACATGTTCCATAGATAAGAACTTAACATAACAACAGTAACTATGTTTGGTAAGAAGATAAGGCAATAACCTCAACAACTCGGATGGAGAGTGATGTAAACCCACATTCCTCAGCAACTTTGTCATTCAAGGGATGATGGCAAGATGCAAGCTTGAAGTCAGTCCCTTCAAACAAACAATTCGACTTTGCGGCGGCAATATGTTCCTCCAATGCAGTTAATTTCCCACCAACCTAACCAATAAGCAAAGTTTTCTATTATCCCAACCGTATAAACAGAACTCTAGCAAAAGCTTCAAACTTTTGGTGTCTGCTTCTTTAATGGTTAATATGGATTACACTCGTAAGTCGTAACTGCACATGGAGAACTTTAATCCTCAATCAAACAACTAATAGAACACTTCAAAAGGTTTGGTTTTTATTTTCCTTTCATTCAACTTCAACAACTTACTAGACTTTCTTACTAGATTCAACTCAAACCATAACATGATTTCAAGAACTTAATCAAAAGTACAATTCAAAACGGTTAAGACTTTCTTTTCATTCCTCTCAACACATAAAGGAATAGACTTTTCGATTCATGGCTTTAATACTCAATCAGACAGAGAACTCAGAAAAGGGTTAAATCAAGTATACAACTTTGGATATGCAGAGAAGGAGATTAGAAGCATACAGTGACATTGACTCCCTTAGGAGAGAGCCTGACTCGGCCGAGTAGACCTAATGAGTTGCAGCTAGATTCATAGAAGGAAACGAGCTCATCAAGATCAGGAACAGAGGTGTACTTGTAATACAGCAACACACCGTATTGCTCTTCATCTTCAATCCTCTGCTTCTCGCCATCGCCACACGAGCTCGTTCCCATTAGGGTTTCTCTTCTTTTCAGTGAGATAGGGAAGCAAAACGATAATCTCAGGCTCTTGGCGTCGTGTATATGGAACCAGGAGGAAGCCAAGACTGTTTCAGAGCACGATTTGGAAAACCACGTACCAGAGGTGGACCAAACCGAACCTTGCTTAAACCGAAATTTGTTTATAAAATCAATTGGTTTAATTTTAAAACCGAATTTAAAAAGAGGTGGAGATGAGTTTATCTTTGGTCTCTTGAATAAAAAAAACATTGGTTACACATTGTTGATAACTCCATTAGAGATACTGAAAGCAAAAGACATACTGTATCTAAACAAAAACAGAGAGATTACTACTTCTATTGATCTCTTTGGCTCTGGAAATTCGAATGCAACGATACACCTTTGTGCTCGTCAGTTTTGTCCCTTTTTGTGTTTGCTTTCAGGGACTAGAGGCTTAATGCAGAGTTTCGGTTTTGTGCTAACGAGTCTATGTGGAAGCACTGAAACAGCAGCTACAAAGGAGCCACTTGGTATTCTAGAGAGCGGTAACAGTTCCACCAGAACGCATAACTGCACATTTTTACTCCAATCTTCAGACTTTATATATAAACGGGATGATGCAACAAGGTTTGAATTCTTTTCTATATATATACACTACCTCTGGAGATTTTAGATCCACAACTGAATCTGGTACAATGTCTTTCACTCCAGCCGCTACAGTTTCAAAGCATTTGATGCGGTCCAGCAAAGGACATTGATCTAGAACCTCTGAAGCTTCTTTCTGAATCTTTCCTTTCGTCTCCTCCACACCTCTACGCTGATACCCAGCTGCAAACTATGTGGTGGTATGTGGTTGATAACCTTTGCCATGAATCTAACAATATTCTTAACATATACTCCTATATAACGGAAACTTGATTCTAAAGACAAACTCTTTCTCACCTTCACGGGTTTTGATAGTGTGTTGTCTTTATTATCGACAAACCTCTGAACAAGCTTTGATACTGTTTCCCGAAGTTCTTTCTCTGTCAAACCACAAGTAGCTTGAACTGGGAATATCCGATGGCACCAGCTGCATCAATCAAATCATAAGTTCCTAGCAGAGTGGATTAATATCTACGTGGTCCAAAATGAATGAAATAGGTCTGATATGTAAAAGATGCCACACTTTGGGACTATCAGACTTAAAATAATTATTTAAGACAAATCAGAACTCTATAAGCATGCTTCTTTAAAGGTAGAGTTGAATTCTAAGGCAAGTGGTAGCTATAAAGGAAGATTTCCAATGGAGAACGGTCAAAAGGTTAACTTTAATCAAATGACCAAAGGTTCACTAACTAACATTTCACAAGAAAGACTTACATTGGTGCCTTCAGAGCTCCAGATTCCATAGACTGGAAGACTCGTGATACGATATTTGTTGTATCGGGAGAGTTTTCAATAGGGAACGTAAAGAGAAGCAAGCCACTCTTTGTCAGCTTAACCAATGACATGAGAGAATTGTGTTCTTCATTTGCTAATTTGAGATCCTCAACATTTGGATCTCCACCTAAACAAGGCACAAAAAGAAAAAAGAAAGACAAGACCATAAGCAAAAAAAACAAGAATTTGACTATGCTCTTCCACAAATGAAAGTTACCTGTTTCCTGCAGGGCATCATCCTCAGGAGGTACGGTCTTCTCTTCGCCAACCTCTATCTCTTGTTCAGAAAGTTTTTGTTTTTTTGATGCAGTAGATCTTAGAACTTGAGGTTTCTCCTCATGCATGGACCCAATAAACTGAACAATTCAAAAGTTTGATTTCTGTGAGACAAGCTGAACATTTGAGAGCTAGTAACTTCCACTAATTAAAACCCTCACTAGTGCATTGATAATCATCCTTACAAACTTAAATTTTCACAAGTACTTTCGTTTCAAAGATAGTGTTTCTCTACCACAATTGATTATCAATCACTCTATAAGTTATCTTCTAAACGCAGGAACAAAAATCCAAACTTTTTCCTCACTAATGATGGAGAAATGTGACGATACCTTTGCAAGGATGGACATGACCTCTTTTGTAGCACTTTTCTCCCTTTCTGATAACAAGTGAAAATCAGAAATTTAAGGTCATGGCCGCAAAACGAAATTAACACATAGAAACTAAAAAGGATGATGATACAAGAGCATTGGAAAGAAGATATCATACTGATGGTGCAGGTGACGAGGAAGCCGGAATGAGAATGATGAAGCAGAGAAGAGGGAGCTTTGTAGTCGAATCGAGGGATGCTTATGATGCTGGAGTGTTGCTCCCATGGAGGCAATGTTTCAGCTTCGTCTCCTCTTTCTCTTTTTTCACTCACAGGCTCTTCCTCTATTGTTCTTCCAACATCGTTTAATTCTTCTGCAGCAGCCATCGTTACTCTCAAAGCCAGAGTTAGGCCAAAAATAAAAGAAAAAGAGAAAGACTTTGAGCCTCCTTATATGATTCAGCGATTCGGAAAGTGCGGTAGCGTTTTAAAACCCTGAAACGCGACGTTTAGAGAAGTAGCTTCAAAACAGCTAAACCCTGACCTGAAGCCTACCAAATAGAACATCATACGATACGAGGTCCGATTCGATCCTCTCAAGAGTTTGCGAGTCTAGGAGAGGAAAGAGATGCAGGTACTTGCGCGGAATCTAGTTCGGAGAGTATCAAGAACTCAGGTAAAGGTAATGCTCTCAATTCATGTTTTCTTCATAATTTGCCTCCTCCTTGTTCATTACCATACTCAGTTCGCGATGACATGTACAGATTTGATGATTCAAGATCGAATTTTCAGGTTCGCTCCAAGTGCAAAATATAAAATTTGCAGAGATCTTGTGGACCATAAAGTTTCATCTTTTGAGTAGGAATTTACTTTCTATAAAATTTGCAGAAATTTTGAGACTTGATTGCAGAGTGTACCTGACCTCCAATGCTAATTACTTGTGTTTCATCAACCGATACTGTTTGATTATCTAAATTGCAACTAATTCTACATGTTGTTTTTAAAATGGGGTTTCAGGTCGTCAGTCGTAATGCATATTCAACCCAAAGGTTCAGAGATATTGGCCAGCCAACTCCAGCTTCTCATCCTCATGTAACTCCTATGTGCTATACTATGTTCTCTTGGATTTGCAAATGCTATTTATATGCTCTGATGGTTCGCTCTTCCCCATCAGTTAATGGCAGAAGGAGAGGTCACACCAGGGATAAGAATTGAGGAATACATTGGTAGAAGGAAGAAACTTGTGGAGCTTCTTCCTGAGAACAGTTTAGCCATCATTTCTTCAGCCCCCGTGAAGATGATGACTGACGTTGTTCCATATACGTTCCGACAAGAGGCTGATTATTTGTATCTAACTGGCTGCCAGCAACCAGGTGGTGTGGCTGTTTTAAGTGATGAACGTGGTTTATGCATGTTCATGCCGGAATCAACTCCTAAGGTATGATGATATGTTAGTACTTGAATTTCTCTGCATACAGAGTGATTTTGATTTCTGTTTAGCAGTTTATAAAAATTGATTTGTGATGTAGGATATTGCTTGGCAAGGAGAAGTTGCTGGAGTTGATGCAGCGTCCGAGGTCTTCAAGGCAGACCAAGCATATCCAATAAGCAAATTACCCGAGGTAGCTTATATTTCTTCCCTAAGTGGCCTCTCTTTTAAAATTTCCTATGTTGTTGACTTTATTACTTCTATAACGCGAGATTTGTTTTATTTTCACGTTCTTTATGTACAGATTCTTTCAGACATGATAAGACATTCTTCAAAAGTGTTTCATAATGTTCAATCGGCCTCGCAAAGATACACAAACTTGGATGAGTTTCAAAAGTCAGCATCTCTTGGCAAAGTGAAAACTCTTTCAAGTTTAACACATGAGCTGAGGTTAATTAAATCACCTGCAGAACTCAAATTGATGAGAGATTCTGCATCTATTGCTTGCCAGGTATTCTTGTATTACAACAAAGCCATTGTTATGCTTAGAACTTTTCTGTTTTTAGCTTCTTATACAACTGAAATGCTAGAGAGTAACTGATGAATATTTAAGATGTTGGAGAAATTTACAAGAGATAATGGGGCAAATTGTTAAGTTGATAACTTTGGCAGACAAATGTGTGCGTATATATTGAATTTAATCTTAAGAATTGATCTGACAAAATGACGAACACATGCATAAAAAGCTCCCTAGCCATGACCTGATGGGACAATTTTGGTTGAGGGTGTTATATCGTGATTGCATGAACAGCCTCTCGTGAAGGCAATGCCTTGCTCAATGATATGTGAAAGTTAATCTATTCCAAAATTTACGTTTGTCTTGTGGCCAAAGTGCTAAGGAAAATGAATACAGAGCCAATAGAACGCCATGGACCATTTTCTGCATATTTATTGAAAATAATAGCTATTACAGACAATAAGCGTATGGAGTGATTTTGATCTTTTCATCCTCAGGGTCTTCTGAAAACAATGCTACATTCAAAAGGGTTTCCTGATGAAGGCATCTTATCAGCCCAAGTTGAATATGAGTGCCGGGTAAGAGGTGCTCAGCGAATGGCGTAAGTCTCAACATGTGTAGATAGTCCATGAATAAATATGTAGTTCAGGATTTTATTCTTACAAAAAGTATTTCCTATTATTCTTATTCTAGTGACAAGAAAAATGTCACGTTTGATCCTCAGATTTAATCCTGTAGTCGGTGGCGGCTCAAATGCTAGTGTTATTCACTATTCACGAAATGATCAGCGAGTAAGTTTGACAAAACCCTATTTGATTTCTAGTACAGAGATGTTCTTGAAGCCAGTATCTTCTTTTTATAATTATCTGCAGATAAAAGATGGTGATCTTGTCTTGATGGACATGGGTTGTGAGTTACATGGTTATGTTAGTGACCTTACTCGGACATGGCCACCTTGCGGAAAATTCAGTTCTCTTCAGGTTGATGTTTCTGCTTGTCTCAGTTTTCATCTTCTTTTGTCTGGTAGTTCGATATTCTTCTGTTTACGTTTGTGCTTTGCCGATAGTGTTTGGATGATGCAACCGAGAGATAAACCCTTACTTACTCTCTCATACTCTACTACCAAACTTCTTACTTTTTTCTGAGATATACGTATCACAGGCTAGCTTTTTGCTTATAATATTGATTTAGGAATTCTTCAGAATTATGAGATATTTGTTAGTCACTAATATCTACCGAAACCCGATCGCCTGAAAGCATTTTTTTTGTTATCCAGAATTTCTTTTGGATTGTTTTAGCAGCGAATAGCCCTTATACACACTAAGAGAAACTTATTATCACGCTAATATAGGTTTTTTCGTTGCATGTTAGGATTGTTTACTGCAATATTCCATTTGTCGGAATTTGGACATGTGCATTGGTTATGGTTTTTTTTGTGATCTTCTCTCGATTTCACAATTTTTTAGATAAAAAGATGAAAAGTAATTGTGAAGCTGCTTTCTTGAAACTTTCCCTATCAAAATATTAATATTTGTATTTTTTTTCCAGGAAGAGCTATATGATCTTATACTTCAAACAAACAAAGAATGCATAAAACAATGCAAGCCTGGTACAACCATCCGCCAACTAAACGCATATTCGGTAAATATAAACTTATCTTAAGCCGTGTCTTCTGTGCTTAAGATGTATGAAACACACAAAAAGTATCGTTTACTCTTAACAGGGGTTTGCTATGATGTGAAAATATTATTTTACTTCTGTAGAAGGCTGGTTTACAAATATTTCAGAAGCTAAAATGGACCAGAGATTTCATAAATATCATCATAAAATTTAAAAGCTTTATTTGCCAACAAAATTATGTTTGGGCTCAGATGATGCTTTGTGGTTTGCAGACCGAGTTGTTGTGCGATGGACTGATGAAGATGGGCATCCTGAAAAGTCGTAGACTGTATCACCAGCTGAATCCGACCTCCATAGGTATGCATTATTGAACCTTGGATCACATTAACTTATTTGCAATTTTGGTCGATGAAACGAATACAATCAACTAAGGCTGATTGATGTGTAGATGGTAACATCCTTGTTATTTTCCCGCATTATGCTGTATAAAAGTTATTAACCGAAAACGCAAAATATACTGTATGGTTGGGGAAAAAACTTATCTAACAGAATTATCTTGTGATGGATAAAAAGGTCACTACCTTGGGATGGATGTGCATGATTCATCTGCTGTGGGATATGACCGTCCTTTGCAACCTGGTTTTGTAAGTAATACTACTCTTTCAAGTCATAGTTTTTATAAGGAACCAAAAGTCAGGCTTATAATCTCTTAACCTTTCTACCTACCTTCCTCCCTCAAACACTCTGCTTGTTGATGCTAGTCCATCGAAACCGATATATGCCCTTTGAATCCTTATTGTTGAAATTTATGTATTAATCATGTGATGGCATTGGGTCCTTACGTTTGAAGCAAATGGTTTTGATGGTGCAATTAATAGAATCTAATAGGCTGGATTACATCAAATGGTTTTGGTGTTTGCTAGATAATGGATCTTTCAGACTCTCGATCTCAAACTTATGATCGCTGTTTGGACAGGTGATTACGATTGAGCCAGGAGTCTACATTCCATCTTCATTCGACTGCCCTGTAAGGTACAAATGCTTTCTTCAAACTCGCACTAACTTCATGTAAAAAACGTGGTTTGTAGGAATATTGGCATCCAATAAGCATCGAAATGTGTAGATCTGAGTGAATCAACCGCAGGATATGACATGGTCTATCGACAAGAAATATATGATTATGTGACTTTACTGTTGAAATTGCTTATTGCAGATTCCAAGGGATTGGGATAAGGATCGAGGATGACGTACTGATCACTGAGACGGGCTACGAAGTGCTCACAGGGTCAATGCCTAAGGAGATCAAACACATAGAGACATTGTTGAATAATCACTGCCATGATAACTCTGCGCGAAGCTTCGCCAGTTTCTCTTTGCAAGGTTAAAGGTTGCATACGAACTGTAACTCAAGACGATTGTTTTGAATTAAACATCATTGATAATAATTCAAACAAAATTCCAAACGTAAACTCCTGTTCCTTGCGTTTGACTCATAGAATGTTTCATATTGTGTTAAAGAAACCATGACTTAAGCATTCCGAAGTGTGGAATTTGTAAATAGCAAAACCAAAAGACATCGAGTTACTACGAGAAAGTAGGGTCACAAATCACAATCAATAAGTTAGGAGTTGGAACACTTATAGTTATGTGAATCACTTAGTCTTTATTGGTTATAGTTGGTTTCTTAAGATAGAAGAAAAAATAATTCACAATACAGTAAAATAGAATATGTGATCCGTAATACGTAACACTAAACGCCCAAGAAATAGATGTTTATTCATTTCAAATATAATTGAGGAGATCGGTTACTGGTTAGCAGGTGAAGAGAGTGTGAGATGATAGGCACTGCATTTATATGTACGGGGCCATGCACCACATCACAATAATCATCATCATTATTATTGTGATGCTGATAGCCATATGATCGATCATGTAAGATATAGTTTAACCCAAAACTCGGAACAGAGCCGACACGACGTACCCATAAACCTGCCCAACCATGGCCATTAATGCTTTTATATGCACCTCATCATCAAGGGTCAAGAGTTTAGATTTTACATTAAGGTCTTGTCGGTTTTTCCTTTTTCTTGTAGTAAAAGGACAATGGATCACGTCGTTTTCGGTAGTGAGGTTTTTTCACATTTTTTAAAAAATAGGGTTGGTCTCAGTTTGATACCAAAACTAATAAAATTTTGCTAAAATTGTATAAAGTCAACGGTATGTTTTCAATCCGAGTGTATTTCACATGCCATTTATTTTCTAAACCCGGTGGCAATCAACGTAATAAGATCAGGGAACCAAGGGCAAACACACGACAAGTCACCTATATATCGCAAGGCTAAGTCCCTTACCTCTCCACAACACACACAACTTCAGCCTTGAGACAAAACTAAAACTAAAAACAAAGAAACAGAGATGGGTTTGGTTACAGAGGAGGTTAGAGCTAAGGCAGAGATGTACACCGGAGATGAGATATGCAGAGAGAAGACAAAGTGTTTCCTCAAGGAAATATCTATGCCCAATGGCTTATTACCATTGAAGGATATAGAAGAGGTTGGGTATGACAGAGAGTCAGGTGTTGTATGGCTGAAGCAGAAGAAGAGCATCACTCACAAGTTCACAGAGATCGATAAGCTTGTCTCCTATGGAACTGAGGTCACAGCCATTGTAGAGACCGGGAAAATCAAGAAGCTCACTGGAGTCAAAGCCAAGGAGCTTCTTATTTGGGTCACTATCAATGAGATCTATACTGAGGAACCCCCTACCAAGATCACGTTCAAGACACCGACCACACTGTCCAGGACTTTCCCGGTCACAGCTTTTACAGTACCAGAAGAAGAACCTGCCAAGGAGGAACCTGCCAAAGAGGAACCTGCCAAGGAGAAGAGCAGCGAAGCCACCGAGGCCAAGGAGGCTGTTGCAATCAAGGAGGCTGTCGCAGTCAAAGAGGCGGCCTAATCAAGCCTCTGCTTCAGCAGTTAAAAGAGACCCAAATTTTTAAGTGTACTTCAAGAATTTGGACAAATCATGGAGAGTTAGTGTTTCTCACTGCTCTTACTATCATGTATTATTACCTATCACTTGTTGCTGCTTGTTTTACCTGTAATAAACTATCAATATCATCCTGTTCCACTAAAAATTATCCGTAATTATCTATAAACTACATTAAAGCTGGTTCCGTATGTAACTTCAAAAACATGGGAAACCTCTTCGCAAGCAAAAGTGAGAGCATACATTCCTGACATTCATAAGATGCTAAATTTCGTAGGTAATATGACCTACCTTTTTCAAAAAATATTTGACAATAGGATAACCAATAAGGCAAAGAAGTAGCCTTACAGCAAAAACTTGTTTATCAAATAATCAACAGAAATGAGGAGCATTGAGAACCGCAGTATGTCATGGAACAACAATAAATATCAACTGGTTGTTGCATCTTAGTCAATCATCATTTCTGCAATTATCTACAATAGCAAGGGACCATCAGGGTTAAGACTAGGAGATACAAGTACCTCAAAGAAAAACAAAACTTGAGATCCCAAAATCCTGACGAGTTATCCAGCCCATTTACACCTTCTGAGACTGAAATCAAAATTAATGACAGCAACTCCATCAGTAAAAGCTTGTTGATAAATGAGTATTGCAGGAACGATGCTGAAAACCTTAGATATTAGGGCAAATAACGAAGTTATAGGTGATAAAATGAGTTGATCGTTTTAGAACCATACCTTAAAAGATGTTATCCACTTTCCATCAATCCATTCCTGATGTAGCCTTAGTTGAGAGTGATGAAATCTTAGCATCTCTTGAGTCTTTTCAAAGAGAACCAGGTAAGATGACTTTGCAAGAACCTTCCTAATCACCCCGACCCACCATCCATCATTATACAAAGCATTAACTTTGTCATGCCTCTCGAATGGACTAACCATGACACTCTCTAGTGGTTGAGGCCTTATCTGTGAAACATTAACCTCTTCTCTCAAAGGCTCTTTCCCATCTTCAGCTTTCAGTTTATCATATTCTACAAGGCATTTGTCCTTTCCTCTGTATTCAATAAGTTTTGCAAGAAACCAAGAATCTTCAAATCCTTCTTCCTCAGGGCTAACCTCAACTGGAGTTCCAATGCTGAATGCTTGCTTCTCCGTTGCTTTCTTGGGTCTCACGTTCCGATTACATAAAACGGTCTGCACATCCAAATAAAGACTTTAAAACACATATTTGGCGAAGAATATGTTGCACATACAGAAGAATGGGATAAGAATGATCTATATGAACTTGTCTAGAGTTCATTAATATGGAAATCTTACAGAACCTTTTCCCTCTTTATCTTCCCTCCTTTCAGTGGTAGCTGCCAGGTCCCGTCAACCCAATCTTTATGCAGACGAAGGCCCTGCCTTCCAAACCGCATCTTCTCTTGTGATTGCCTAAAATATATACCAACTGTTCCATCCTTCATACCATCTATGACAACACCTACCCACCAGCCGTCATTGTAAAATGCATTAATCTTGTCCCCAACAGCAAAATCTATATCCTCATCTCTTGGTGGTGGCGGCCTTATGTGCAGAAAATCTGTTTCTTCTTTCAAAGGCTCTATGCCATCTTTTTCTCTCAAGTCTCGGTACTCAACAAGGAATTTGTCTTCGCCAACAGGTTCAACGACTTTAGCAGCAAACCAACACCCCTGGAAACCTTCCTCATCGCTGCTAACCTCGACAATCGTGCCACTGGAAAACATTTGTTTCGCGATTGCTCTGGTAGTTTCCAGATCCACTCGGGCTAAAATATCCTGCATTTTATTACTGTCATGATTAATGTGCATTCTAATATCCCCGTAAAGTAAAACACAGAACATCAAGAAATTTAAGGATATAGAGACATAATTTCTCTACAAGAACTAAAGCAAAACTCTCCAATAAACAACTTCCACATAAAGGTTATCAAGCACCAATCGTATCATTGAGAATGTGTTACCTCCTCGTCTTCTGAGTCGTCTAATTTGTCTTCCTCTGATTCCTCTTCTTCTGTTTCCTCTAATGGCGGCTTCCAAGCTCCATCAAGCCATTCCCTGTGAAACCGTAGCTCATCTTTCCTAAAGCGAATCTGCTCCTTAGAACTCCTGAAGAAAACACTGAATTTCCCATCATCCAGAACCTCCGTCACATCCCCTTCCCACCAACCGTCATTGTAAAACGCGTCGACCTCTTCCCCAACGGCGATATCCTTCTTCTTCTCTCTCTCAGACATTGGCGGCGCCGGAGGACGAAGCTGACTCATGTCAACAACTTCCTTCAGAGGCTTCGTCCCCTCTTTGTCGAAGAAGAGCGTCGTGTACTCGACTTGGCATTTAAGGGAATCCTTATGTGAGGATGGAGTGGTGATCACTTTTCCAAGGTACCACGAGCCGCGGAACCCAATCTCGTCGGAGCTGATTTCCACGGTGGCGCCAGGTTTTAGGTAAGAAGGCAGACGCTTTCGATTGGCTCTCGTAGCCATGGAATTCGTAGGAGCTTTCTTCCTCTGCTTCGCCGGAGATGAGATACCAAGAGATTGGCGTGGCCGAGACCGCAAACGCAAAGACATGGCGTTGAGAGTGTCAAGGACGAATCGGGGAAAGGAAACTGGCGGGAAGAATTGGTAGTGAAGATCAAAGAAATCACCTTTTTAGGGTTTTGGGGTTTGATTTCAATTTAATGTTTTGCTTTGGTAAAAAGATCAAAGGCATAGATTTTCACGCCACAACCCAAAATAATTATATGTAAAAGATTTGTGGTAAGATTGGTGAACAAATGATCATGGACTGAAGAAATTTTAGCCCAGTTTCACCTTGTTTTTTTTTACTTGGGCCACCAAATTTATTTGGGTTTATGGTTAAGTAGTAGTGTAGTAGTAGGAAAAAAAACCCAAAAAAACCGTCATCTATTTTTTTTTGGCTGTTTTTTTTTTTTTTCGTCTGAATTATTCCATTATATAATATGATTGAAGGATACAAAGGTGGGATGCGGTTTTGGTACACAAAGCCGGCAAGAGATAAACTCTTCCAGAACGAAAGCCGGCGGAAAACAGATATATCCCCGGAAACTAAGCCCAAACAAGGGAAGCAGAATAGAGATAACTGGGATCAAAACCCCAAAAGACAAAACAAAAGCAAGACAAAAAAATAACTCTAGAGATAAAGACTTGCCATAAAACCAGCTCCCTAGAACCAAAATGATCAAAGCCAAACACAACACACATCTGGCGAATCCTCCTATAGTGAACCAATACTACCTCTCAAAACAAAGTGAACCTAGGCTACCATTCTGGCAAGAGAGAATCAAGATAAAACATCTAAACTCCCATACTACTCCCAAAAGCGGCGATATCGACTTAGCGATGATTGAACGCCTCATTAGAAGTCTTTGAACCGACCAGACCTCGATCAGGTCTTAAATGTAGAAACAAGGAGCGAGACAATTCTTCAACCGGATAAAACCAATCTCAAAAGAGAGCAGCACAAGATCGAACCGGGAAGAAAACCATAAAGACCACCATAAGAACCAGGGAGCAAGAGCAAACAAGTCCAAAAACCAAATAGAGATCAAGCTAGTCACTACAAACGTTTCGGGTAAAACCATCCAAATCAAGGAAAGGATACCACCAACCAACAAAACACACAGAGGAAGTAGGAGAGACGAGAGAGGGACTGAGCCAAAAAAACACAGGTATTAAATGGCCAAAAAAAAAATAGATGACGGTTTTTTCGGATTTTTTTCCGTAATAGGTATAATATTTTCATAATAATGTCCTATACACAAAAATATTTTAAAACATCTCTTCTTAGTTCTTATGTCTCATGAAACAACATCATCTGCATTAGTGAATCATCATGAAGCCTAGTATTAAGAAGTAACTCACCAACAACAAAAAGATGCGTCGCCTGCAACATGAACCGAAGATGCATATGCAGAATTGGAAAGGGATGAGAGACTTAAAATTTCTGAATTTTCTTTCGGGCTAAATATATGTATAATAAGAAGACCATACGATATGCAAAATGTTAATAGGTAAGTCGAAATTGTAAAATACATATAAAGACGAATATAGGACCTTTTAAACCCTTACAAAACATTTGAAACCAATCAGTCAAAAAAACCAACCATGTCGTTTTGGCAATCTTCTTTGTACACTGTCTTTCTTTGCTCTCACAACCCTTAAAAAGCTGTATTTCTTCTCTTCAGACAAGGGTGAAAGCAGATTGTACTGTTGATTGGAACCTTGATGCGATTGTCTGCGAGGCAAACTGCTGAAATTGTTTCTTTGCATCTGCCAACAAATTGGTGAATGCCTATTAGAGTCACCTCTATATATGTACATGTGTATGTTCTTTGTATAAAAATCTAACAACCTAGTGATCTATAGCTTTTGCACAAAAAAAAAAAAGTGATCTATAGCTGATTTGATTCTTAACAAAATCAGGGCAATTGCGGAAGACTAATTGGGGATCTTACCTTTCTTGCACTTTGTGAAGCCGATGATATTAGCTACGTTGAGAGACAAGCAAACGCCAACAACAAGCAGATAGTCAGCTTGAAACCTAATCAAAGAAAATACCCCAAGGATAAACCATGCAGCTGCCTGAAGAGTGGAAAAAAGAGAAGATTTAGCTGTGAAGACAACAGAAAAGGATAGCAAATAAATTCACATGCTTTTAATGTTTACTAAGCTCCTGTACTATTGACACCGAATCCATAGCTACCATCTCATGGCTACATCTATACATGGGATACTAAAAGACTACTCAAATTTTTTTATCCGCAACCTATGCAAAATATGATTCACCATTAGGGTCAGGTTTATTCTTGCCTATTTTTATTCCTAATCCTCCAGTATGGCTTCAGAAGAATTGTGAATGGGTTTAAGTGACTAGCATATGCTGCACTGAAGTGTTAGATAGGAAATACTCACTGCAAGATAAAGTGTCCACCAGAAAAGCCATGAGTCTTTCTTGTTCATCCGAGCCAAGGACTGTAAAGAAAAATGAGTATTCAAAAACGGAAAGGGAAACACAACCCCTTGTAGACAGACTGAACCCATAATATTAGGAATAAGTGAAGAAAGGCTAACCTCCTGGTCAAGAGACTCGAATTTCCAGACACTTTCTCCCAAGTCATTGATCTCGTTCCACCACCGGAGACCAACCAGTATACGCCCACTGACATTCTTAACGACCCAGAAGTCAAGGGCAGCAAGAAGAACAGTCACTACAAAGATGATGACAAAGCTGTTGAAGAAGAGCGCAGAGAGAATGTAAAACGCCAACGCAGCACCCTGGTCCAAGACAAACTGGTTTACCATCATTTGTCCAATGTCTAACATTTCCTTTGACTAAAGATTTATATACCTTGAAGAGAACATGGAAAAGACATGTCCTTGGGTTTGCATAATTTTCAACTGGTGCCTGTATCTAAGAAAGAATAAAGTTTTGGTGAGCTTAGCTGTAGCAATTATGATGTAGGATAATCATTATGATGCTAACCAAAGGATTATTTTCCGCCTACACATTGTCACAAGAAGGAAAATCCTCTAACCTAGCAATGTTTATTAAGCTCAAATGCATAATTTCTAAGGATTATCGGAGACCAAAACGTAGAAACACAGATCTGACACAATAACGTCCAGATCGAGCCATTAGATTCAGGTTAATCAAGAATCTGATATGCAATCGAACTCAGAACAAAATGAGGAAGCAGCGAAACACAGCTGAGTTCTCACCTGATTATTAGGGTCCATCTTTCGAAGAATCCAAAATCCGAATAAACGAACAAGTAATCTGCTGATCAGCAGAAACAAAACACCTCCTTATCGATCTTCCCTCTCTGAAATTTTCTGTATCAGATCTTCAAAACTCTTGCGCGTGTCTGCTACGTGATTTCTTCTCTCTTTTTGATACTATTTCTTTTAAATGTGTTTTAATTCTAACTCAGCCCAATAACTCTTCTCTGGCCCAATAATATTGGAGCAGTTAGGCCCAATTCTTCAAAAAATGTTTAATTACGATTTCACCACAAATATTTTGTGTCGATCACAATCATCCACTATCAGAAGAGAGTTATGAAAGAAGAGGACGCCATTGATCCGTAAATATGTGACCATGAAATGGCGAGATAATTATCTTATCCCTTCAAAAATTAAGACTTTTAATGATCGGAAGGAACAAGATGATGAGGTCCCACGAACCATACACAGATACTCACACACTTCAATTTCAAATAAGAGCTTTTCTTCACTTGTTGCTCAGAGAGTGAACCAACAACAACCATGGCGAAGATGATGATGTTGCAACAGCATCAGCCTTCTTTCTCTCTCCTTACTTCTTCTCTCTCTGACTTCAATGGCGCTAAGCTCCATTTACAAGTCCAGGTCTTTTTTGTTTCCTTTCTTCTGACTGATTGTTTTTCCAGATTGGTGGTTCTGCTTTTGTATATTTCTGATGAACCAAAATCCGTTTGGCACATTTCAAAATCATCCCTTTTACCTTTTTAGTGGGTTAAGCTTGTTTGGTCGAATTCTTGAGCAATGCATCATTGTGTCTTGATTAATGAACTCTTGGTGTGGTTCTGTTTACAGCTCTGGGTTATGGTTATGAGCTTCTTTGTCATACTTGTGGAATTTTTAGGTGTAGTTTTGGTTTGAGTTGTCTGAATACTACTTCCTCATTTGTGTTTATAATGATTTGTTTCTGTGAAGCTCTGGCTATCACTAGTCTTAGATTTGTTTGTGGTGATTGAAACTACATTCTTGTATTTTGGAGATAAAGATTTGCTTACAGAGTTGGCTTTGTTGTTGAAATTTCAGTACAAGAGGAAGGTTCATCAGCCAAAAGGAGCACTCCATGTTTCAGCATCGAGCGAAAAGAAGATTCTGATAATGGGTGGCACTCGATTCATCGGTGTGTTCTTGTCCAGGCTCCTTGTCAAAGGAGGACATCAGGTTCTCATTTTCCTACCAATCAAACTTTCTTTTCAGCTACAAATTTAGGTTTTTTCTCTCTCACACATTTGGCTAATGGTTACTTTTGCAGGTTACATTGTTCACAAGGGGTAAATCTCCTATTGCCAAACAATTGCCCGGCGAATCTGACCAAGACTTTGCTGATTTTTCTTCTAAGGTATTACATGAATCCTTGTGAAAGAACTAGTATGCACACTCAAATCTAATATACATTTAGGATAATCCAAGGAAAACATAATATTTGAGCAAGAGCAACTTGAGTGATTTATTAGGATTCCAATAAATGAATGATTTTTCCTGGTCTTTTCTAGATTCTTCACTTGAAAGGAGACAGAAAGGACTATGACTTTGTGAAGTCAAGTCTTTCAGCAGAAGGCTTCGATGTCGTTTATGACATCAACGGTAACAGCTAATCTCTTTGTTCTTACTGTATATTAAAGAATATACAGTCTTTTGCCTTTGACAACAAAGATTTTAAGATTTGGTATAATTTATGCTCGCTTTTTTCTCAGGGAGGGAGGCCGAAGAAGTTGAGCCTATAATAGATGCACTGCCCAAACTAGAGCAGTAAGTAATACAGAACATCTACCAAGGCCTAGCTTGTTCATTTGGTTGATAGCTCTTAAACACACAGCCTTTCAAAATTGAAATTTTCCGTTAATGTTATAGGTACATCTACTGTTCTTCAGCCGGTGTTTATCTGAAATCTGATATCTTACCACATTGTGAGGTATGTAAAAGATATCTTATTATTTATCAAAAAAAAAAAAAAAAAGATATCTTATTCTTATTCCTGGAAGATATGAGCTTGTGCTTTTCTTGGATTAGCCATAGAAATAGTATGATTATGTGATTTGATCATATGATGTGACCCAGAAGTTTATTACCTAAGTCCATTTGTAATAACTTTTTATTTGGGACATAACTGATGCAGGAGGATGCAGTTGATCCGAAGAGCAGGCACAAGGGGAAGCTGGAGACTGAGAGCTTACTGCAATCAAAAGGTGTAAATTGGACTTCTATACGTCCTGTCTACATCTACGGTCCTTTGAACTACAACCCCGTCGAAGAATGGTTCTTCCACCGTCTAAAAGCCGGCCGCCCAATCCCAGTTCCAAACTCTGGGATACAGATCTCACAACTCGGTCACGTTAAGGTCACACACCTACTTTCTCTAATTCTTGAGCTTCCTTTCATGTTAAGAAAACTCATTGTTATAGGGACCCACTGACTCAAACTCAGCTCTGATCAATCTTGAAGAGTATTGATCAATAACATCAAATCATTCAGTAATTCAGGACTTGGGAACAGCCTTTCTCAACGTGCTTGGTAACGAGAAAGCGAGCAGAGAGATATTCAACATCTCGGGGGAGAAATATGTTACCTTTGATGGGTTAGCAAAAGCCTGCGCAAAGGTACATTTTTTTCTATGGGTTTCATTGTTGTCTCATCAATCCAAATCTTTTCAAGTACAACCTGGTGTGGTCCGTTTGAGATAGATATCATACTCTGAGCTTTTTGGATCATTGCTTGAGTAAACTTATTCATGTTTTCAACTCTCTCTCAGGCTGGTGGGTTTCCAGAGCCAGAGATTGTTCATTACAACCCGAAAGAGTTCGACTTTGGGAAGAAGAAGGCATTCCCTTTCCGTGATCAGGTAAAAACTACAACGTTCTAATGATTCAGGCTGCAACATCAACGATTCCAATTTAGAAGTTGAGATTGTGATTTATGTATATTCTCTTGCAGCATTTCTTTGCATCGGTGGAGAAAGCAAAGCATGTCCTCGGATGGAAACCAGAGTTCGACTTAGTGGAGGGTCTCACTGACTCATACAACCTTGATTTTGGTCGCGGAACATTCCGGAAAGAAGCGGATTTCACCACTGACGACATGGTTCTGAGCAAGAAACTTGTTCTTCAATAATCAAACCTAAGAATTGCTCATATATATATAAACATTCTTGGGTTGTATGATTCTGATCACCCGGTTCTCTTAAAGTTCTAAACTTTATTGTCATCTCACGTTCACGTGTGTTATGGTTCGGACTTTGTTAGACTTTTCTCTAAAGAAGTCAAGCGAGGGACGATGAAGAAACCAAACCAGGAATTTTGGCTTCAATTCGGTATCTCTTTCTAAATTGAACTGAGCCAAAATTTCAATCATACCGACTACCGAGCTAGTTGAAAGACATTGATTTTAACTTTCATATGTTTTCAGGGTTCTTTTGGTGGCCCTCTTGTGAATTCCGAGGGCCTCGTAATTGGTGTCATGTGCGCAGGTTTGGTAGAGAATCCCGAAGTATATACAGTGAAGGGAAATTGTGGCGGCTCTTATTCGAGTCTCTAGATTTAACGTAAATTCAATTAATCTATTGGTTGTCTAAATGTAAATGAGCCATTCTCCGGATATTATTCTCCAAACGAAAGCAAATAGAAGGGAACTTTTTTTTATATGTTTTTTTCTCTCGACTCTTGTTGGACCATTACCGGTAGCAATCCAATTATTAATGGCTCTTTCTTGTAGATACAAGACTTGCAGACATCATACTAACATCAAAGAAAACATTGTTTGTGGTTTGCATAACAATCATTTGGGTCAATACCTTCAAACCTTTTAGGGAACTCAACATAGCAGATTCTATCACCTCCACGATCAAGCAAGAAGAACATTCCTTCCCTCATAGTCATGGAGTTGCTGATGTTAGTGGTCAGAATCAAGATTGAGGATGAGTGGCTCCATAAACACGTTCTGCTTTAGGAGGAACAGAATTCCAGAGATATCACTCTTTCTCTCTTCTTCCTTCAGATATCAATGTTCACTCTTTCTCTCTTCTTCTTCTTCTTCTTCGAAACCATAACAAAAGAATTCTTCATCTTTCATTATCTCTTCTCCGTAAGATTGATGGGAGCGGAAAATAATCTCGTTTCGTAATTGATCTCCATCCTCTTCACTCAATCCAAACGATTTCAAATCCGGTCAACGACGGGCCACCGAAACGCTTTTACCGACGGCCAAGGAGAGAAACAAGACGGCCAAGGATGGGACAGCGGGAAAGAGGACAACGAAGAGAGAGACAAAGAGAGACTGTGTTTCCATGGCTGTGATCATGAAAGCGTCTCCTCAGGCTCACGATGATCGATCGATTAGTCTCTGTTTCGTCGAACCAGGTTACCTCTTAATTTGACATTTTTTTTTTTTTTTCGATAAGTGTTAAATCTTTATTTTTGTGTAAATTAATTGGATACAACATCCAAACCCGTAAAAAGTGTTTTATGTTCAATATGGTTTACACATAACTAAATTTTTAACATTTATTTTTTTAAATGTTTTTTTTATAAGTGTTAAATTTTTTAATTTTGTGTAAACCAATTGGATAAAACATCCAAACCCTAAAAGATGTTCTAGGTTCAATATGGTTTACACATAATTAAATTTTTAACACTTGTTTTTTTTTAAATATTTTTCTTTTGATAAATGTTAAATTTTTTAATTTTGTGTAAACTAATTGGATACAACATCCAAACCTCTAAGAGGTGTTCTATGTTTAATATGGTTTACACATAATTAAATTTTTAACACTTGATTTTTTAAAAATGTTTTTTTATTTTTTTTATAAATGTTAAATTTTTTAATTTTGTGTAAACTAATTGGATACAACATCTAAACCCCTGTGTTTTAGGTTCAATATGGTTTACACATACTTAAATTTTTAACATTTGTTTTTTCTTTAAATGTTTTTTTTTGATAAATGTTAAATTTTTTAATTTTGTGTAAATTAATTGGATAAAACATCAAAATCTCTAAGAGGTTCTAAGTTTAATATTGTTTACACGTAACTAAATTTTTAGCACTTGTTTTTTTTTATTAGAAAACGTTTTTAAATTTATATTACTATTAAAACTTTAAGGTTTTCTATTCTTGAGACTCATATAATTCTAGAGTTTTCTGTTTTGTCGACTATCAATATTTTTATAATTTGTCCAACGGGTGTATAGTTTTAACAAGCTACAAATTTGTTCAGATAGACGAGATGAGAGCTACTCATGCCTGAAAATTGTTCTTTTTTTTTTGCACAAAAATTTGGTCTGACGTGACGTCAATGCAACTTCATAGAGACTCAGACGTTGAGGAGACGCGCATGCGTGGGTTCGGACCCGAACTCGCGTTCTACGAATGTGATAACAATGACCGGAAAACTCTCAATTCAACTCGCTCTAAGAATGTGAATTTATTGTTAGGCCCAAAGTTACAATTATGAAGGGTCTCGGTAGTGGGTCATCGTGTATTTTGGCAAGGAGAGGTTTGGTCACTGACTCACTGCAAGTCTTAATATTGTGGAAAGAAGAATCTTACAAAATTCTTGTGAAATTTAGATTCTAAAGAATACACTAAGAAAAATGAATTAGTCTTCTTCCTTTTTTTTTTTTTGGTCAGGATTAGTTAAAGTCGTAGCTCCATATATATAATAATTTATAAATATCATCTTATTTTTTCTCCTTTTCTATATATGTCGGTACGTCTTTTTCTTTTCACGTATGTCGGTACGTCAAAATGTTATAGTGCTACTCTTAGATTGAATTTCTAAATCTAGTTGATTAAAAGCTTCTTTCGAAGCAAAATTTATGAGCAACTATGGGAGTTTGCTAATTGCTCTAAGGCTCGGCTCCCCCGTTTTCTACTTCCACACATGGTTAGCTTTTAAATTCATAGCAACATCAGAATACCCAACAATACTACATATCCAACTAGTCAAGATCTATATAAAAAAAACTAACTAAACGATTCGACAGACAGAATAAAAAATAATTTGGTAGACTAATGAGCATTTTGGCTTACAAGAAAAAGATCTTGAAACATATATCTTTCCACGGCTAGTTAAACAAAATTTTGTAGCTTAAAAAATCATAATCCGGTGTCATAAATTGAATACAAAATTTAGCAACACACACCAATTCTTTGGTGAAGTCAAAATATTCAGGAAACTACTTGATGGAATCTCAACTCCAAGAAATTAACTAGACTTTACAAAGAAGATCGTATTGTATTGTATTGTATTTAAAAAAAATCGTAATTGTAAACTGATAATGCATATGCGATAAAGTTTGGCTTTTGGCCAGTGAACAAAAAATAAGAAAAAAAATCTTTTTAAATATTAAAATTATGACGTTAGAACAAAATAAGAAAATATCAACGTTACAGGAAACAACCACTACATAAATAGTAGGTCGGTCATGGCCTCATGGGTCGGACAAAATAGATTACTTAACAAACAAATAGCTTTGGGTATAGTAACAACCAATCAATGTTCCCTCAGCTTCTTCTTCGTGGGCTCCCTTTTTGACACGTGGAATTATCACAGCCTTGTATTGAATTAGACAGAGATCCTCCAACCAATCACGAGATTTCGTTCGCGGTGGTAGGGCCCTCTCTCGCTAAACACACGGGGTACGGGAGTAATATCTAAAGTGGACCCTGCCTCAACATTTTACGTACCAAAATTGTGTGACACGTGTCATACTGCATCGCCATGTCATCGTAGCAGTAAGCCAGTAATACGAAGCTTTCCCTGGTGGAATACTTAAAAACCGTTTTATTAATTAAGGGAGACATGTACATAGGTGATATTTTTAGAATATTACAATTCCATTAATTATTTTTTTATAAATAAAATAATTAGAATGGGTTATCAGCCCAGTTATATTTTTGATACTAGTATCATCTGATGTGGCATCTCCTGATTGATCGGGTTTGCCAAAAACAGGAGAAAAAAAAAACATTATTCAAATATTTTAAATAATACTAAAAAAAATTTTATTGATATTTTATGAGTACTATAACTCCTGTTCTAAAAATTCCCGCCTAACCCGATTATTTCTCATCCTCTCCGTTTCGATTAATGATTAATCCCTTAAAAAAAATCAGTCACCCGATTACTATCTGCCTAATCCGATTAATTTCCGTCTAATCCAATTATTTTCTGCATATTCTTATATATCCCGATTATTTTTTTATTTTTGTTAATTAAACATTTGAATTGGAAGTTTGCGATATTTTACAATAATTTATGTTCTAATTTTTAATAAGTCATAATTTTTAATAAAAAAATCATAAAAATTTGCTTTAAAATATATTTTTATGTGTTTACTACAATTTTGAAAACAATTTAAATTATTATATTTTAAAAATATTAAAATAATCCTAAAACTAATCCCCGATTAATCCCCTATGGACGCCCGACTAGCGCTAGCGATTTTTCAAACTATGACCATGCTCTCAAATCCTATATAAGCCAGCCTTGGTTTCTCACCAACAATCAAATCACTCATCAACAACTCAAACTCATCACAAAGATTTTTTTTCTCTCTGACAAGATGGCACCTGAGATGAACAACAAGTTGAGCTACGGAGAAAAGAAGAGAGCGTACGTTACGTTCCTAGCCGGGACCGGAGACTACGTGAAAGGAGTGGTTGGTCTGGCTAAAGGGCTAAGGAAAGCAAAAAGCAAGTACCCATTAGTGGTTGCTGTGTTACCTGACGTCCCGGTGGATCACCGGAGACAGCTATTGGACCAAGGCTGCGTCATCAAGGAGATTCAGCCGGTTTACCCGCCGGAGAACCAAACTCAGTTTGCTATGGCTTACTACGTCCTCAACTACTCCAAGCTTCGTATTTGGAAGGTATATACACACGTCACACATATATATATATATATATATATACATGATCGTGTCGTGTGTCTCGTGTCTAGGTTTAGAAGATTGAGAATCTGAATTTAAGTTTTCTTGAGAAGGTTTAACTAAATAATAACTATGTGGATGCAGTTTGTAGAGTACAGCAAGCTGATATACTTAGACGGAGACATACAAGTGTTTGAGAACATAGATCACTTGTTCGATCTTCCCGACGGCAATTTCTACGCCGTTAAAGATTGTTTCTGCGAGAAGACATGGAGCCACACGCCTCAGTACAAGATCGGCTACTGCCAACAGTGTCCGGACAAGGTGACGTGGCCAGAGACAGAGCTTGGTCCTAAACCACCTTTGTACTTCAACGCCGGCATGTTCGTCTACGAGCCAAGCCTCCCCACTTATTACAACCTTTTGGAGACTCTCAAAGTTGTCCCTCCCACACCTTTTGCTGAACAGGTAAAACAAGGTCTACACATTTTATATGATTATATAAATACATGGGGTTGCTAAATTGATTTATGTGGTTTTGTAGGATTTCTTGAACATGTACTTCAAAGACATATACAAGCCTATTCCACCAGTATACAATCTTGTCTTGGCCATGCTCTGGAGGCATCCAGAGAACATAGAGCTTGACGAAGCCAAGGTTGTTCATTACTGTGCAGCTGGTGCTAAGCCTTGGAGGTATAGATATGATATAATTAACTTCTCTTGTTCTTTTCTAAAAAAAGGTGAAAGATCTGAAACTGCTTCTCTGTTTTGTGATCAGGTTCACAGGCCAAGAAGAGAATATGGAGAGAGAAGACATCAAGATGCTTGTAGAGAAATGGTGGGATATTTATAACGACGAGTCACTTGACTACAAGAACTTTCATGTGCATTGCGGACAAAAAGAAGATGTCCACAAGAAACAGCAAACACTTCCACAGTTCTTTACAGAATTGTCTGAAGCTGATGTGCTTCAATGCGGCAAAGCTCCATCTGCGGCTTAGACAACTTTGTGAAGGCGGAGCTAGGTTCTTGGTCAACATCTGCCTGCTAGTAGTTTGTGAAACTGATGATGTTTAATTAGGAATTTACTATATGAAATTGTGTTTTACTGTTTTTTTACTGAATTTAGAGGAGTTTTTAATTCCCAGACCCTCTTTGTACCTTATATGTTTGCTAAGGACTTTTCTTCCTAAAATACAATAATAATATAGTTTTTTTTTTTTTAATTTTCTTCTTTTTGATATTTGGGAAAAAATCCCCATGGAGTGAAACAAATCTAGTTATTCAACACTTATTTATGAACTTTTAGTATTTATATTTAGTTATTTGGTAAGTCATTCATTCTCCTACATAATTGACTCAATAATTTTGGAAACTTAACTAAGAAAGTAAAGCATAAATGGGTAAAGCTACCACAAGTATTTCATACTTGTTATTCAAGAATCTATGCAACACAATCTCTTCTAAAATTTAGATCCCAAAATTATGAATTTCGCGCCTTGTGTTTTTCTCATGATCGTTCTTGTTCTTTATATTTTTACTCCTCACATTGAAGCAATCAAAGCCGATGAAGCAACAGAAGCACTGATCAATAGTATCTGCATCGAAAACGAAGATTATGGATTTTGCAATAAAATCATCCATGAAAAATTGAAGGCACCAACGGCTACCATCAAAGAACTCACCAGTCTGATAATATACACCACTATGGATCACGCCAGTGATACTTACATTTTCATCGATAACATCCTCCGCGAATGGCCTGTCCCTAAGGAGACAACTGGTCTCAAGACTTGTCATGAAGTTTATAATAGAGAGACAAATAGTTTCTTAGAAATTCGATTTCTATTTTCAAAAGGAGAGTACGAACGTATGGGTGAAGCCATTTTGTCCACAGCCAAGATCTTAGAAGATTGTAGGGGCGATTTTCTTATTCCTCCTTACAAGGAGCCTCTGATTGAGAAGAAGAGAGTTATGAGAATATTGATCACCATGTCTGCTGTTTCTGGACATATGATCAAAAATGAGAAGGCTTCCTTGATTAGCTCAGTAGTTACTGCGCAGTTTTTCAATATTTGAGAACATTAATCAGTGATTTGTAACAAATAAAGTATCAATATTATATAGAAATAATAAAATAAAATTAAGCATAACATTTATTTTCTTAATTTTTATAACAATATCATAGTGAATGACCAAAAATTGTAGAGTTATAGTTTAGTGATTTGTATTAGAGTAGTTGTTGTCATCATCAGATTCTAACTCGGCATTTGTTGATAACAAAACTATTAATTCATTTATATAATATTATAGTATGTTGCTTTTATAAGGAATTCCTAATATGTTTCTCAAACCCGATGACCTTTTCTTGTTACATCTTAGAGAAAATATCAATTTTAGACCGTTCACTTTAATTAATACAACTATCGGAGTATCAAGCGAAGAAACGTGTTCGAATACTAACTCTTGGTATTCTACTCGAATTATTAAGATCTGCAAATATTTAAGTAGTCAAACTAAATCTCGTTTTATTTGGTGAATATTCTTTCTTTAGGGGGTGTTATTGGTTTGTGATTTAAATAGAGTTTTGATGACTTTAATAAAATCATAGAAAGTGAATAAGTGAATGATTTAGAAGAATTGTTAGAGAGTTTTTAATAGTCTTGTTGATTAGTTTTTCTATAATCTTGTAGAGTCTCCCAAACAATCTCAATATTTCAGCATACTTTCCATGACTTTATTTTGTAAAGAAAAGTGTTTAAAATCATAAACCAATAACACAATAATTGAATTCATTAACAATCATAGATTGTCATAGATTGTTTTGTTTTAGTTGAATAACACAAAACTTTTAATGATTTTATAAAACTCTTAATCCAATAACACAATATTCATTAAGATTTTAAATGACTTTTTACAAATCACAAACTAATAACACCAAATTTTAAGAGAGTTTAACAAAATCTTGATTGAATAACAACAGATTCTACACAACAATTAAAGTCATTAAAACTCTATCTAAATCACAAACCAATAACACCCCCTTATTGTTGTGATTTTGGCGAATTAATAAACTCGTATAGCATAAAAGAGGAGAACGATTGGGTACAGAGGTGAAGACCTCAAAAACATAACAAACCAAAAAACCAGCTTAATTAGAATATAAAAAAAAAAGCTGTGGAAGATATTCTGAACATGTTGTCTTCTTCAATCCGAGAAAGGAGCCAAACCGGACCACCGATTGAGAGATAAGACGTGAGCCTACCATCTCTAGTCACACTTTTGGCTATGTCTTGTGCTATCATATTTGCATAAGAAAATGAAAGTTGTGTTTGGTTTTATGATATGTTTTAAACACAACGAAAAAACCAAAACAAACTATAGTGTTTAGTTTATATATATAATTCTTTATAAATGTTACATTTAATTACATTTTCATCGATAACATCTGCATATATAATTCATATCACATATGGTCACGCCAGTGATACTTACATGCTCTTATTTAAATGTTACATGTTCTTATCACTGGTGTGATCCATAGTGGCGTGATCCAGTGATAATTACATGTTCTTATTTAAATGTTACAAAAGTTACATTTTCATCGATAACATCTGCATATATATATTTTTAACTTTTTCAGATACAATTTATTAGTTGCAAAATCTTAGAATTAAAGTTGGTGCTTTTTTATGAAAAGTTATAATGATTAAATTAAAAAAAAAATAGAATGATTTAAAGAACTCAAAGTTTTTATCATTTAATTTAGAGATGTCAAAATCAAATTCTATAGATTTTAAATTAAAAAAGAATGCTATATAAATGCCATGCAATACCACATTTTTGTCTAAAACAACTTACAAATTAATTTTAAATATTCTAATGATTTGTATTATACATAAAGTAGCATTCATATCTAATAAATTAGATATATATATATATATATATATACATGTGCTTTTAATTTATATATAATATACAAAGAATTGTTTGGTGTTAAAGTGTATTTAATATTAATTAATTTTTTATATAGAAGTTTACCTTTTAAAAAAATTGAAATATTTAATTTTGGTAAGTTTAGTTAATACTTATATATTGACATTTAGTTTATAAATAACTAGTATTATACTCGGTGCTATGCACCGAAAAATTAATGTTGTTATGTTTTATCAATATTTACATAAAATATATTGTACCAAATCATATAAAGAAGCTATATAAGAAAAAAGTTATGTAAAATACAAAGACTCAACACAAATAAAAATTATACCAGAGTGAAAGATGATATCTCATTTTACATCTAGATGTTCTACTTCGTCTGCAGCCTCCTATCACTTTAATTTGTCATTTGTTCTTTTCTTGCTCAAGTCTTCTACTTTATTTGTGTTTTCTCTTCTATCCATGAAGTTTGCTTATCTTTAGTTTAGTGGTGTGGTCTAGAAACAAAAAGATATTGTAAGACATAGAAAATGAAAATTAACGTAATCATCTAACAGCAATATATCACAATATATAAAAGAAATGTAACATACCAGAGACCATATGCCCCATATAGAATGGTAGAAACGTTTAGTATGTTGTTTCCCGTTAAGGGTATTTCGCTCGTATTTTCCTAAAGGTTTCATCCTCAATTTGTTTGAAAACTCAACATCAACAACATAATGATAATCAATCAGATACAAATACATATAGCTTTGGGGTTGGGGATCGTGACTGTCTCTGCTTCCCAAAAATTAAGTTTGAATGGAAGAAATCGTGGGATTATTATGGAGGAGAATATAGTGATCGTGGGAAGTTTAGATAATAATGCTTTTATTCTTTCAACTGTTTTCCCATTAATTGGTCTTCTCTCAATTTGTTAATTTAAAATATATTTGCGGAAATAGTTTTAAAAAATATTTTCAAAATATATGGTTGAAGTAGAACACGTGAAAATAAAAATAATGAGTTGTTAAATGAAGAGTGATTTTAGGGATAATTAGGGATTTATAGCATAAATATTATTTGTTTTAATATATTTTTAAAACTAAGAAAATAGAGATCTTTTTTTACGGAAAATCAAAAATCATTTTTTTCCAAGACGTGGTCTCCCGTTTTCTTATTCTGTTCTTACCTTTTTTATTTTTGTTAATTACTTAAATTATAAATATAAATTTACGTTGCAAAATTTGATTGGCTAGGTGACTTGTGTTTTATAATATAAAGGATAAGAATATGTAGTATAGATAATTGAAAGTGTTTGGTAAAAAAGATAGTAGAATTAAATAAGTGAAAAAATTGAGAGTAACTGTGACCATAACACAAAAGCACCAATAGTGATTCTTTTTAATATATAGAAGATTTGGTCAACTGAAATAAGTTATAAACATTGAATGTTGATTCAGATAAATAAACAAAATGTAATATTTTGGGGAAATGTTTTCTTTTCCTTGAATTCACAAATTCTCACACGCAATTTTGGTAACTTACAAAGACTTTTTTGACTTTTGACTGATTCATCCAAATGCCTAATTTTCAAATATAAAAATAACAAATTTCATCCTCAAACATGAAAAAAGAATTGACCTACTCACAATTTACAAAAAAAAAAAAAAAAAGAACAAACATGAAAATGCATCGCATTCTCTCGATAGTTTTGGCGATTATACTCGCTTTCTCGGTTGCAGAAGCTTTTCTCGATGAAAAAACTCAACAAATGGTCAACGGAATCTGCAAACAGACAACGGATACCAAATTTTGCAGTAGTGTCTTGCTCAAGAACCTGAATACTCTTCCCGCAAGTAACAAAGATATCATGAACGTGACAGTAAGCGAAGCTGAAAGATTCGCGGCCAACACTTATTTCTTCATCAGCACGCTTCTCAGGAATGCTGGAGACGAGAGGCCTGATCTTCAAGCGTGCGCCGAAGCTTATGCTATTGTGAACTCGGCGTTCACGAATGCTGTATCTTTCTTCAAGCAAGCTTACTACAATAAGATCGTCAAGATCGAAAAGAAAGTTTCTACGGCTGTTGATATCTGTAAGACAGATTTCTATGTGCCCGGTTATAAGATCAATCCGCTTGTTGAGAGAAACAGACAGACGAAGATCTTAGTATCGATGGAAAAGATTGTTAGTCATATGGTTTCTTCATAATATGTTTGTTGTTGAATCATAAGATAGTAGCAAATGTTTACAGAATTATTCTAAATTAATAATGGTTTCAGAATTTTCTTAGTTGCAATTTTCTCTATATGCATATATGTTTTTGCTGGTTGAATTGAATTTGATAAGGATAAACACTTGGGATATACTAATATTTATCTTTTACTATCGATGCCTTTACCTCTTACAAAAAAAATGTATGATCTTATTCTATTTTTGCTTATATAAATTCTTATGATCTTATTGCAAAATCAGGCGGTCAATAATTTTAATAAATGTCCATAGTTTGTCCTTGACAATCAAGTCTAACTAAAACGCATGTGATTCTCCATGTTCTGTATCAAATCTACTATCTCCATCGATTACAGGTACATGAACCGAGATAGTACTAGCAACTCGCAATCAAGAATGAAGAAGAAGACTAACAGAACAACGACTCTGTTTTCATTCTTTATATATAACACTTGAGTTACTAAACCACGATTAAACCGTTACCGCCAATTGTAATTGACTTGCACAAACCGAAACCCTCTGTTTCAAGCCACTACTTTACATTTTGGGTCTATGAATATTGAAAGTCTGTAATAATTTTTTAACCCAAAAAATTAACTTGAAGACAATGATTTGATTTGTTTTAAGGATAAAGGAAATAGGTTATTAGAAAGAAAAAATAATAATGGAAACGCATGAAGATTAAGAATACTGAATATATAGAGATCAAAGGTGATATTTGTTATGTCCATGGGACGAACACACAAATTAACACTCCATCATTTGCCTCAAAATGGGATACAAAATTAAACACTCCGAATATCCAATTTAGTTGCAGTAACTTAGACAACAAGAAATCCCAAAATGTTCATAGCTCATACTTATATATATGATGAAGAACCAAATCAATGGTTTTAAGGCGATATAGACCTTGTGGAACCATTTCCACTACTTGCGACCGGTAATCTCGATTCAATATCTTCATTACTTTCACTCTTGCCTTTACTACGTTGTTGTTGTTTCACCTTCTCCCTTTCTTCTTCCTTCTCACTCACCTCTCTGTCTTTCCCCCACAATACGCCATAGAGACCAATAACCACAAGTGCTGATCCCATAAACCTAATATACAATACATATATCATATAAATTCATCATCATCTCGTTTAAATAGATAGAGAGATAAAGATGTGAAGAAAGAAACATACGTGCCGGTGTAGAGTTTCTCTTCAAGAAGAGCCCAGCTGAAAATGGCGACTACTACCAGAAGTAAAGGGCTGAAAACAGAGACGTACAGAGGACCTTTCCTCTGCATAGCCCATGACATTAGGCAGAACGCTAACGCAGACGCCACCACTCCCTGCATGACCCGCGTTTTAAATTAATGTCATATATTTTTACCTTAATATTGTTATCTTATGATCATATATAGTACATGCATGTGTGGACTTACGGCGTATAGGGCGGATATGAAGCGGAGAGGAGAGCTGAGAGACCAATCAGAGAGTTTATGATCGGAGATCAAAGCAATGGCTCCACATTGGATACTTCCCATCAAACACATTAGAAGTGTGCTCGTGTATGGTGCTGCAAATGTTTCACTCATCTTTGTCTGTAAAAAAGAATGTTTTGTCATCACCAAATGAGAATTTAATTAATTAGTTCCATTTACCAATCTGTGGGTTCGTTCAAATGGTTTCCTGGGTGAAACTGATATAAGCTACATATTTGTTATAAGTAAGTTACCTGGATAATGAACCAAGCGGCCCAAGAAACGGCAGCAGCCATAATAAGAAAAGGTCCCAAGAAGAAGTTAGAATGGGCAGAACTGGAACCCTGTCTTGTGATGTTTTCAGCATAGGCCCAATGAATCTTGGACTCTCCAATGCCAATGGTGTGACCATGGTAAAAGGAGAGAACCATGGCTCCGATCACACATACTAGCGTCCCTATCACTTTGGCTTGTCCTGATGCCTTCTTGATCCCTACGGTTTCTTGTCTGAAAAGAAAGAGTTTTAATTTGTGTTAAGCAGTACTAAACTATAAACAAGTATTGTCTGATGGAAACGAAATTAATAGTAATTTCATATAACCTGAATATTGCGGCGAGGAGGAAAGTGACCGCTGGTAAGAGATTAGTTAAGGCACAAGCAATGGTCGGAGATGAATTCTGAAGTCCTATGAAGTATAGCACTTGGTTTCCAGTCGCACTGCAAAGAAAATTAAAGTAAATCGCTTTGTAAAAAAAGTTTTAAAAAGTGAGATTGCAATTAGTAAAGTATATGTAAGATACCCAGTAATGGAGCAGAAGAAGACTTGAACAAGAACCCTAAGTGTGATCTTTGGTCTTGTCTTCCTGCACAAGAAACCGTGTTTGAAATTTATGTTTTTATTACTCCACTAATCAATTATTAATCAATATTTAACCTTGAATGTGATCATGAAACTAATCCTAAAACCACCCGGTTAAACCGAGACTCAATCTTCAATGACTCAACTCAAGAAAACAATCAAATTTCACTTCTCATATCAAGAGTAGAAAACGTAATCGAAGGAAGCACGTGTCTTGGCAAATTAAGATGGCACGGCACCTGACGACGCTTAACTCACCTGCATCATGATTTGTTTGTCGTCATGTGTTTCGGTTTAAGAAAGAAACGTGACGCGTGGATTGTGTGAGACTGCGTCACATTTCTCATTTGATTCTCTCTCGGAAAACGGAATTAATGATAATGTAATTACTTAGGTTTCCACATACCACCAAAATCATTGACGGTACCATGATTATGAAAAATAACGGTTTTCATAACGGTAAATACTAATGCCAATAACCAATAATAAAAAATAAGCTTCTGCATGTCTACATTTCAACTAATTAATCAGTGTCACTTTACCACTTTTTTCTTCACATTCCGAAATAATATTATTCATCAAGAAACCTATAACTTGCCATTATATGCGTATTTATATCGTAATCTCCGGACTATAAGACGATGTCGTGCTAAACTTTTTTTCTTTATTCTTTTTTTTTTTTAATGTTTAGTCTTCCAAATGGATATTAATTTGTGACCAAAATTGTAAAAAAAAAAAAGGAAGTTAATGAATTTAAATCTATTCAACCTATAGTACTGATGAATTAAGTTATTAACATATTTTAAATAAAAATCTTGACCACAGAAAAAGACTTTAATGTAAGCGGTACTTCTATGTCAATAAATTAAAAAAGCTTCATTTTTGAAACTTTGGAAAGTAATTAATTTAGGTGACGCCAGAAAGTTCAAAGACTGTAAAATCCTTCTACAAAATATAGACTCACAAAGCCATTAAGTAAATAAAATGGTTTTTCATTCGTTAATATTTTAATATACGCACTCACCCATTTTGACGTTTATGTTGATGAATGATATGATGTCATCGTTTTCTACTTTCGGACTTAATACCAACTTGAAAACACACTTTAAGATATTCAGTTTAACCCAAAAACAATGCCAAAATAAAATTTTAGCTAATTAAAGTTTAGCATCTCTTGCTGATCTTTGTAAAACATAGACTCACTACCTAAAACCTAATTAATTTAATCCCAAAAAGTAATAGAGACACCCATATAGTTTATAACAATGTCATTCAAGAATTAACACAAAATTTCAACATTTCATCGATGCAATTAATTTAATCATGTATTCATGCATGTTCAAAATCGTTAGTTGATCAAATAAGATAGTATAAATTTTTACCGTTCGAGAAAAAATGCGACCGGAAAAGTGGCGATAGTGGCAAATATCTGGCGATAAGCGACCAGAATGAGAGGCTTCATGCCGGCTTCCATAGCCATCTTCGACGTAATGTTCATGCCTGCGTAGCCGATTTGCACCAACACCATCGCCAAGAACGGCAGCATATCTGATTTAGCCATCTCTCTCTTTTAATTCTATTCTTCCAATTTATGTGTTTATATATCTCTAAATTATGTCTCTCTCACTATTACTAATCAATAATAATAGGTCGACAAACCAAGAAAAAAAAGAGACAGAGAGAGAGGTGGGTTCTCTATATCATTTATTAGTTTCCCCAAATCTATTCTTTACTTTGGTTCAACCTTATATTTATAGCCGAAGATGTATATACACATTTATTTATATATATACACGTATATTCATAGAGAGAGAAAGAGAGAGATGTTTTGAACAGAAAGGTGAGAAACGGTTCGAGAATGAAGTTTGCTTGTAACACTTGTGCTCTCTTTAGGGCATAAGAACACGAAACAATAGGTGATATGTATCATTTGATATATTTGGCAATTTAATTAACTTTTCTCCTTGCTGATTACTAATACAATCCAAATTGGCGTTTTGTCAAAAAAATCTACCTTATTTTCCTCTTTTTAATCCCTTTTTCTGGTTTCCGTTTTTTCATGGGTTTGGTGGAGCTTGTGAATGTCTTTCTCAAGCTTCAAGCAATCAATTTGCCTTTGCTAAAACTCGTTTCTGCAATATTAAATCATGGGTTTGGTTTATCGCTTGATTAACAATATCAAAATAGTATCATCATATCATCTTACGTATTTTGAAATATTTTCATTATATCACTCTTACTTTTTTGTTCAAACTTTTTTTTGTGTATAATATGGTAAACTATTTATGTCCCAAGAGCGTTGGACATTGGGCATGGATTATCAAATATATTATATAGCATGCATCTTATGCAATATAAAGATAGCATGCACGAATTATTTCTAAAATTTAATATAGAATAGAATGAAGTACATACATATATCAATATTATTACATGTTTCAGTTTGACAACATAAATTGCATAATGAAAACTAGTGTAATAGAAAATCTCATATATTACAGAACAACATACAGTCTTATGTATATATATATATATATATATATATATATATATATTGTTGGGCCACTTATTTGTCTTTAAAGGGCCTTACTTGGGCTCAAATGTCTTTAATTTCCTTAGGTGTACAGTGACTTCCTTGAGCAAGAATGTCTTTTCTTATGAGGCTGCACTCCGCACTATGCACAATGCACATAGGTATACCAAACAGGCAAACACGTTAATCTTTTTTGTTT